TATATATATACATATATATATATATATATATATATATATATATATATATATATATATATATATATATATATATATATGTATATATATATATATGTATATATATATATACATGTATATATATATGCATGCATTTCACTTATTCATTGTACTTGTAATTTTTATTTTGCAGTGTACGTTACACTGTTAGCAGGAACTGAGATTAATCAGTTCTTGAAGTGTAGTCGGAGGCAATATTTGTATTCATCTGTCGAGTTAACTGAACAAACTTCTTAAAAATTGGTAAATCTTTCGACTCATTTCCATTTCAAGATTTATAGATGATGCGCGGACTTCGTTGATGCGTCTGGATTTTCTGTAGTGGTATTTTCCTGAATAGTTTAACATTTGTTTCAATTTTTCATATGTGCCCGAAATTATGGTAATTGTATAATTTGGAATTAAACGTTCTCAATATTTCTCAATATTATTTTTGCAGGGTGCAGCAGTATGGTTGTATGGGGCTTATCAAATATCACGGATGTCTTACAAAAGCGTTTGTGTCGCTTTCTTATACATAGATATTTAAGCGATTTTCTGAAATCTAGCATCAATTTGGAACAGTTATCAGCCACTCTTTATGGTGGTATTGCATCTGTTAGCGATGTTGACATGGACGTGCAGGTATCAATTTTCAAGATTTAGAGTGGTGTTTTTGGTTGTCGAAGGGAAATAGGCAATTCATGTGACAGAGAGCTGCGAAATATTTTTGATAAGAGAGCATTTAAGTCAAGTATGATCAAGTATGATGCATTTTAAGCCTGCTCAATATTGATGTTTAAATGGAAAGGATGAATCAGCTGAAAAATTGTTTCTTCAGAGATTAAATGAAGCGTTTGAATCAATGAAAATACCATTTACGGTGGTTGAAGGATACATCGGCGAAGTTAATATCACAGTTCCTTGGCAATATATCCTTGTAAAATCTGTTGATTTGGAAGTAAAACAGTTGCAGCTTACGCTTCAACTTCAGCATTATGCTGATGAGCCACCAGGAGATATAGGTTAGAGATTTATCTTAAATTTTTTCCATCTTCCATGACATTCAGAGTATTTTATCTGTATTTCACTGAGCTGTAGGACAATTATTTCATATCTCCAGTGGCGTCTATGTTTGGAAGTGTTATGGGATCATTAGCAACATCTATGGAACTAGCGCAGAGTTTTCTGAGTCAAGAGGAAGCCACCAATGAAGCAGAGGACAAAGGCATTGAACAGTTTGCTGAGGTAACAGTTTTCTTCATGTGAGCTTCGTAGATTACGTTTCTCAATCTGGTCATATCAGTGTGCATGAAATTTAGGTCATTGATGCTGTCATCTCTCGTTTTCGGTTAATTTTCAACGATGCTATTATTCGCTTGGAAGGTATTCCCGATCCAGAATCTGGTTTATGCACTGCTTTGGAACTGCGAATTGATTGGTATGTTATCATCAAGCATTATTTCCAGTTGATGAAAACGAGGAATTTTTTGCAAAGACTTTTGCAAGATTCTTTTTAAGTCCTTAGCCTTTCATCGTTGGAACTGCGTTATCCATGGGTAGTTCTTTTTTNTTTT